GACTCAACCCCAACAGGCTACTCCCCGACCCCCAGTTCTTCTGCCAGTTGCAGGCAGTAGGTCCTTGCAGTAGGTTGCAAGCTGATGATCCTCAGCTTTGCTTCAGCTTCCCTATAAATCAAAGGTTCCTTTACCTTCCTGGATGGTGCTAGTGGTAAAGAACCCTGGAGGAGGGCGTGGGAACCCACTCCAGTATTCTTGCCTGGAGCATCCCATGGACAGAGGAGCCTGGCGGGCTATGGTCCATGGGGTGTCAAAGAGTCAGATACGACTACCAATGCAGGAGACTAAAGAGACTTGGCTTCGATGCCTGGGTCAGGAAGATCCCCTGGAGGAGGGCATGGCAACCCGCTCCAGTGTTCTTGCCTGGAGCATCCCATAGACAGAGGAGCCTGGTGGGCTACAGTCCNCTGGGTCAGGAAGATCCCCTGGAGGAGGGCATGGCAACCCGCTCCAGTGTTCTTGCCTGGAGCATCCCATAGACAGAGGAGCCTGGTGGGCTACAGTCCACGGGGTCACAAAGAGTCAGACACAACTGAGTGACTAACACCCACAATTAGCAGCTTTGTACCCGAAACCAGGGGCAGAGAGTTACATGCATATTTTCGCCATTTCACATGCAGGCATCCTTTGTCCATCTCACGAGGCTGCGGTTCTGTCCCTCTGACACCCTCCCCTCTCTCTGATGGGCACTGTTGATGACTCATCCGTTTCTACCACCATAGCCAGGCCACCTCTGACACTTCCCAGGTGTGTGAATTGCAATAGCTGACTTTTCGCATTTCAGTTCTCTCCTCCTCAAAGAGGCTTATATGAGAGTCCCTGCTTGTAGAGATGGTTGCAAAATAGGTTAAGGAATCAGTGAAAGTTCACTGAAATATAAGCACATAGTAAACACCAGAGGCAGGTTTTTCATATTACTTATCTTTGACCTTGTGTTCCTCCTTCTCAGGCTAAAATAGCTCACAAAGAAGGGCTGCATATGAATGACACTTAGGATGAACCCAGATTCCTTTCCATGACCTGTTTGGCTTTGCAGAAGGAGCTTCCTCCCTGCCTACAAGCTCCGTCCCGTAGGGTTCTCTGAGGACATCACTGCTGGTAGACCAGTTGTCTTTAGGTTTTGTGGTCCAACTGAGCAAAATCAGCACATGGCCACTCCCCCTGCCTTCTTCCCACATAAAGTGGACTGCACACCATTGCTTTCTTTCTTAAAAATACTAACTGATCTATTTCTAGCTGTGCTGGGTCTTTGTTGCTTCACAGGCTTTCTCTAGTTGCAGAGCACAGGCTTCCCATTGGGTTGGCTTCTCTTGTTGTGGACCGAAGGCTGAGTACTTGTGGCACATGGGCTTGGTTGCTCTGTGACACGTGGAATCTTCCCTGACCAAGGATGGAACCCATGTCCCCCATTGGCTGGCGGATTGTTAACAGCTNACCAGGGAACCCCCCCCCCCGGTTGTTTTCATATTTCATCTCCTGCTTGCTTCCTTTTCTGAGCTCGCCCAAACTCTAAGGCATTTTGACTCTTTGGCAACATGTGTGGGTTGAAATGTTTTTCTACTTTGCCTTCCAAAGGGGGTGTTCATTGGCTATGTGTTGAAGAGAAGAGCGATTGTCAGGCACCCTATACGTATTCGCAGAGAGAATGATGACATCAAATGTTGCCCGTTAGTAAGTGTTAACAACCAAGGCATCACTGTTGGACTTGTAGGTGAGTCAGAGAGGCTGGAGAAACCACCTCTGGTCATTGAATCAGTTTATGGCCGGAGAAGGTGGCCTTTCAAATGAGGCAAGGTGGGTCTTCTTTGATGGTTCAGCTTCTTTATAGACCAACACGATTTACTAAAATATATGGCTTCCCTGGTAGCTCAGATGGTCAAGAATCCGCCTGCACTGTGGGAGACCTAGGTTCCATCCCTGGGTCTGGATGATCCCCTGGAGAATGGAATGGCAACCCACTCCAGTATTTTGCTCTGGAGAATTCCTTGGACAGAAGAGCCTGGCAGGCTACAGTCCATGAAGTGAAAAGAATCAGACACAAATGAGCAACTATCACTTTCATCCATTCATGGATCATTCAATATCCTTCTGTGATTTATTTCTAAATGTCTCCTTATCTTTGAAGATCTTTGCCAGTGTTCACGTCCCTTGAATTTTTAGTTTCTTTTTCTGTATTATCTTAAAGACACTGTCATAGAAAACTTTATCAAATTTCCCATTCTAGTCCACACCTAGAAAATTTAGCGGGATACAGTTTAGGAACCTTAAGGATTTTGGACTTTAATCCTTTTAAGTCTTACATGAAAGCTCTAAATATATATTGCAGCACTCTTTCTTTGTGCCATTTGCTGGATAACGACTCTAGTACTTTTAAATTTTGTTGTAAAGATCTGGTTCAAAATCAGCAAAGTGAATACGAAATGAATTTCTTGAGAATCATCAGAATTCTGGGATGTTTTGGGCAGAGTTAGAACTGTGTACAATTGATTATCTGTATTTTCAGTTACTCTTGAAATGCTAAGGAAAATTTTTCTCTGCTACTCCTCGCTGGATTTTCCTAATGCTAAAAGTGAAACAATTCGAGCATTGCCTAAAGTTGGGAGCAAATCCAAGACAGAAACACATGTTTTATTAAATATGCATCTTTTCAAAACTGGATGTGGTTTGGAAGATTGTGACAGAAAAGAGATAAAGTCTGGGTTAGATACATTAGGGTGCAAATTAAGATGATTTATGTTAATTGGAACATTTATCTGCACATTCAGACGTGTCTGGGACACCCTGCTAAAACCTCGCAATAAGTACTATTCTCATCTGAGCATGCATTTTACTTAATTTTTTTAGCTACTCATGAAAGTCTATGAAAATTCAACTTCTCCCATTTTTCATTTAGAAGTTCAGCAGGTCACTTAGACTCAAAAGACAGTTAAATGATGAATGGTACTAGGTTGTTTTTTTTAATTTAAAAATATCTCTGAAATATCTTGAAGTTTTTAAAGACAATTTTATATTTTCCTATTTTTGTGTATGTGTGTGCCAGAAGATAACAAATGACGACTGATGCTAGATTTTTCTTTTCTTTTGAACCTTTTTCTTTTGTATTGGGGTATAGCCAGTTAACACTGTTGTGATAGTTTCAGGTGAAGGGACTCAGCCATACATGTACACGCATCCATTCTCCCCCAAACTCCCCTCCCATCCAGACTGCCACGTGACATTGAGCAGAGTTCCCTGAGCTGTCCAGCAGGTCCTTGCTGGTTCTCCATGTTACATACAGCCATGTGTCCATGTCCATCCCAGACTCCCTGACTATCCCTTCCCCCATCCTTCCCCCTGGTGACCATAAGGTTATCACAGAGTGTTGAGCAGAGTTCCCTGAGCTGTCCAGCAGGTCCTTGCTGGTTCTCTATGTTAAACACAGCCATGTGTCCATGTCCATCCCAGACTCCCTGACCATCCCTTCCCCCATCCTTCCCCCTGGTGACCATCAGGTTATCACAGAGTATTGAGCAGAGTTCCCTGTGCTGTCCAGCAGGTCCTTGCTGGTTCTCCATGTTAAATACAGCCGTGTGTCCATGTCCATCCCAGACTCCCTGACTGTCCCTTCCCCCATCCTTCCCCCTGGTGACCATCAGGTTATCACAGAGTATTGAGCAGAGTTCCCTGAGCTGTCCAGCAGGTCCTTGCTGGTTCTCCATGTTAAACACAGCCGTGTGTCCATGTCCATCCCAGACTCCCTGACTGTCCCTTCCCCCATCCTTCCCCCTGGTGACCATCAGGTTATTACAGAGTATTGAGCAGAATTCCCTGAGCTGGACAGCAGGTCCTTGCTGGTTCTCCATGGTAAATACAGCAGTGTGTCCATGTCCGTCCCAGACTCACTGACTATCCCTTCCCCACCTCAGCAGCCATAGCAAATCTAAAAAGAAATGATACACATGAACTTAGAAAACAGAGACTCACAGACTTAGTAAACAAACTTATGGACACTAGAGGTGTTTTTTTTTTTGTTTTTTTTTTCATAAGTCTCTCTGAAATATTTTAGGTTGTAAATGTACATTTATATTTTCCCATTTTGTCTATGCGTGTGCTGGACTACATGCAGACATTGGTCATGAGTGACTGTGGAAACCTCAGGCCCCCTTAGCTGTAATCCTGGCTCAGACTTCTTGAGGGTTTCCCTGCTGGCTGAGTTGGTGAAGAATCCACCTGCAGTGCAAGAAACGTGGGTTCGATCCCTGGATGGGGAAGATCCCCTGAAGAGGGGAATGACAACCCACTCCAGTGTTCTTGCCCTGGGAACCCCATGGACAGAGGAGACTGAACGCCTGCAGTCCGTGGGGTCGCAAGGAGTCGCACACGACTGAGCGACTTTCACGTCACTTAATTTAACTTAATACATGGAGTCTTCAGCCTTTGTTGTGGCCCTGGAACTCTTAGTTGCAACTTGTGGGGTCTTTAGTCATTGCACGTGGCATTTAGTTCCCCGATCAGGGATGGAACCAGGGCCTCTGCGTTCGGAATGCAGAGTCTTAGCCATCGGACCACCGGGAAAGTCCCTGATATTTCTTTCCTACCATCCTCAAATCTTATACAAAGTCTGTGCCCAGTAAGCAGTTCTGAAATGAAATAACTGAGAGTTTCCAGGCAGTGTTTACCGTACATCATTTGTTGCTGTTGTTTAGTCACTAACTCGTGTCTGATGCTTTGTGACCCCGTGGACTGTAGCCCACCAGGTTCCTCTGTCCATGGGATTATCCAGGCCAGAATACTGGGGTGGGTTGCCATTCCCTCCTCCAGGGGAATGTCCCAACCCAGGGACCGAACCCGCCTCTCCTGCATTGTTTTGTGAATTCTTCACCACTCAGCCACCAGGGGAGCTCACATTACTTAGCTACCAGGGAATAAAATCATATTCGTACCCTCTTGAAAAGTCGTAGCTCCATCAACGCCATCTTTTATGAAAGTACTTATGTCCCTGTTACCTTACGTTCTAGGTATCTGCTTGACCCGCTGCTCAGGGCCATTTGGAATGGCTGTGAACATCTCTACGAAACCTCAGGTCTGCGGTCGTAAAGATGAAATTCTTTGGAGAGGCTTCCTTGAATCGTTGTCATAGAGTGGAGTAGACCGTTCTCAGCTTCTGTCCCGAATATTCTGCCCGAGGTCTGTATGCTTTGACTCATGTGTTCACTGCACCCTAAGATGCAAGCAACGTGACATAAGATGTTTATGCTAGTCTTTGCTAATATATCAGTGACTCATCAATACTTGGTGTGTCTTGAGAATTTAATATCAGTCATCACAAGGGATTTTTTTTTTTAATCTGCACTAGTTCTTCATTGTGGAATGCAGGCTTACTAGTTGTGGTACATGGGTTTACTAGTTGTGGTACACGGGCTTAGCTGCCCTCAGCCCGTGGCATCCAAGTTCCCCAACCAGGGATTGAACCCACGTTCCCAGCATTGGCAGGTAGATTCTTTAGTGGCACACTGAGTCTCCGGTCCTGATACAAAGTAACCTTTGATGGAAGCTGTGTCAGGCCGAGATTCTCCTAGACTGGGGACCAAAGCATCTGAGAGAGAGAAGGTATTAATAGCTCCACCCAAAACAATGTGTCTTGATGGTCTGAGTGCCCACTTTGAGCCCTACACCACCATTCACTGCTCTGCATCTAGGGTGAGTTCCCTAACCCCCTTCATTTGTTTTTGCTTTTTTTTTTCTCCAATGAAAGGAGATAATGTTGCCTTTTGTGCTCACTGAGAGGATAAAAAGAGTCCAAATGGGAACTCCCTGGTGTTCTAGCGCTTAGGACTGGGTGCTTTCATCACCAGGACCCCGGGTTCCATCCTTGGTCAGGGAAGTAAGATCCGAAAAGCCAATGATGAAAAAGCGTCTGTGCGTAAAGCAGAGTGTTTAAGGTTGACCCACCATATGCGTGGGCTTCCTAGGTGCCTCAGTGGTAAAGAATTCTCCTGCCAGTGCAGGAGATGCAGGAGACTCAGCTTCGATCCCTGGGTCGGGAAGATCCCCTGGAGGAGGGCATGGCAACCCACTCCAGTCTTCTTGCCTGGAGACTCCCCATGGACAGAGGAGCCTGGCAGGCCACAGTGCATGGGGTCACAAAGAGTCGGACACACGAACCACACACATTTAATGTTGACCCACCATAGACATGTTACCTACCGTAACAATTCCTATTACATTTGAACAAAGAGGCAGCTTGATTCTGTGAAAAGGATGTGTTCTCTGAACTCAAGGCAGACATAGGTCCGACTCTGTCTTAACAGCTTGTGAGTCGTGAGACCTAACATCTGAATATCATTTTTCCTCCAAGTGTTTAAAATCAGTGTGATGATAACTGTCCTGCACGGCTGCAGACCAAGAATAGGTCAAGAATAATGCATGCAACTAAGATTGTTTCATACAAATTCATTTTCACAAATATGTTTGCATCGGTGATATTTATGACATAGTAACTAATGGTGGCTAGGTGTTATGAGTGATCAAAAACAAAAACAAAAACAAAACTCAGACCATGAACCTCCCTTCCTATAACCAAAGATTGGGCAGAGCCGTTAGCTTTGAAAGCCAAACGACTGATGTACTCAATACTGATATTCCCCTAGGGTTGAAATGCGTTACATTGAGGGTCGAAAGGTTTATCCTCTCTTCCCGCTTGCTGTCTTCCTGCATAAGTAAAGCGATGACTCTCAGTGACAGGTGGGTACTCTGTCCAAATATCTCAAGGGGAGTCACTTGCTTTGTGGTGATCCTCAGTTGGAAGTGGGAAGAAGTGGGATTGTTGAGAGTCGTCCTGGAAAGAGAAGACTCCAGCATGAGGTGTCAAGGAAAGTGCCAAGTGGTTCAAAGATGGTTACTGACCAGACAGAGCCTGGTTTTGCCACAGGCGAGCCGAGAGACATGGACCGCTTGAATCTCGCCAGTCTGACATACTACTGTTGGAAAAAAAGAAAATATCTCTGCAGGCTGAGAATTAGTCTCACAACTAAATGATGCCTAGCGTGTTGTTGGACTTCCACAAAGCAAACTGTGCAAGGAGTTTGTTGTTTAGTCTCCTCAGTCGTGTGCGATTCTTTGCGACCCTATGGACGGTAGCCCACCAGGCTTCTCTGTTCATGGGATTCTCCAGGCAAGAAGACTGGAGTGGGTTGCCATTTCCTCCTCTGGGGGGTCTTCCCAACCCAGGGAACGAACCATACTCTCCTGCATTGCAGGCGGATTCTTTACTCCTGAACCACCAGGGAAGCCCAGGCAAAGAGTTTAAATCCTTAAGTTAAACAAACGAGATCAAACATAGACATGAACTAAACTGATTATTCATTTGCAATGAAAATTTAATGGCGGCCCTAGGAGTGGAAATGGTAAGTATTAATACATTGCTGACCTCCAATGGTCTCAATTTATTCTGAATTTTCAAATCACTGTGGACTCATGTGGTCAGATAGAAAAGCTACAATTTGCTGTAATCACTCTTTGGGCGTCCTTTCTTGATTGGTTGCTTGAATTTAGGAAATTGGTTTGGAATTACTTGATGTCTTTACCCCCTAGTTTTTCTAATCACGGAAAAGAAGGCTTAGAGGAAATGTCACATTGGTTTTGACACAATGATACCACCTCTTTTACTGAGTGGATTTTTCTCTCTCTTTCTCTGTGTCTCTGTTTTACGGTAACAGGGAAAAATGTGCTGAGATGGAAAAGCAATCAAGTGGATTTTCATGGAGGCATTTTTAAAAGCATCTTCTTAGAAGGACGATGTAGTGGTAAGTATGAAAAAAGTAAACATTGATCTCTGCTGGTTTATTTTCTCAAAGCATTTACTGCCTGGTTAATTCACATCTAGCAGTGCTTTCAAATTACTTTGCTAGGGAAAATGGTTTTCTTTTCTTTTTTTAAAAAAGATTTATTTCAAATTCACCACGGTGCAGAGCAGTGATTTCAGCCTCCTTTGGCCTGTACAACTGGCACGCCTTGTGAATTTAGGATTTCGTAATAATCATTTGTTTCTGCAAATAGCCACAGGGCAGAGGCTATCTCATTAGTGAGACAGAAGAGTCAATCCTCTGACTCAACTTGGGTATATTTCTCCTGAAATGGACCCTCATCCCACTTTATCCTGCAGGCAGCATCTCAAGCTACTGAGGTCTTTGAATGGCCTCAGAGTATCCTGGTATCATTTTTGTGTGAGGCCCTGAGGAGTGGAATACAAAATAGCAGATGTCCTTTTAATGCAGGCTGGGGGCCCACTGAGGCCCGGGGATCCTTCTCTTTATCAGAAATAGAGCACAGCGCGAAGAAGGGGAAATGGGCAGAATACTTTGATGGTTGTGAGCTCACATTAGTGAAGATGCTTTATAAGTCAAAATCGACACGCTTACCCCCCGCCCTCCACCGCTGCATACTTAAAATTTAAAAAGAATGCATGCACGTTTAGTCGCTCAGTCATGTCCAACTCTTTGCAACCCCATGGACAGTAGCCCACCAGGCTCCTATCGGTGGGGATTCTCCAAGCAAGAATCCTACAGTGGGTTGCCATGCCCTCCTCCGGGGAATCTTCCCCACCCAGGGATTGAACCCAGGTCTCCCGTATCACAGGCAGATTCTTTACCATCTGAGCCACGGGGGAAGCCCTTTAAAAATATGTCAGTATACTAAAAAGAGTATGCCTTAATGTATTTCAAATAAATAGCTAAGGTTGTTCATGAGTCAGCTGTCCATTCAAGCCCTGCTTATGTATATGTGATTATTGTTTCTGTCTGTTCAGTCAGTAAGTCGTGTCCAACTCTGGCTTTTAAGTGTCTGTTTACTGTTTAACCACTTAATTTCCCAGTCTTCACGCTAACAAACTTGAGTGGCTTTCCCAGATTTTAGGTGATTGTCAAGGTCATGTCCTTCACTGGACTCCTGCTTTCAACAAACCTAGATTTCTAAAGTCCTCTTCCTATATCCTGCCATAAAGAAATGCTAGGTTGTTTTTTGTTTTTTTTTTTGGCTTCCCCGAAAAGCTAATTTGTAATGAATAAAGAAAGACTAATGCCGCCCCCGTTTTTGCGGTTAACATGCAAATGTGAAAGATATCGGGTGAGAAAACAAATGAATTGCAGTTGGCTTTTTTTATCTTGTGTAGACGTACCTATTTTATCAAAGGAGCTGTGTGCACACACATTTCTCATCAGGATATACGGCTCAGCGATCAATAACATCACATTAATCAAATCCGTTTCTCTTGTGAATTCCGAAACTTTTTTTTTTTGGTATTGTCATTTTCTTTTTGGAGGAACATTGGATATATGTAACCAGGGCGTGAAGTTGCACTAGTGTTGGGTTGGCCGAAAAGTTGGAAACTGCAAGGAACTCCTTGGCCAGCCCCATACATGTCTTCCTTCTCATACCACCAACCTGTAGGATAATAGCTGTGCTTGTCATCATGTCAGCAGCCGCCCTACAAGGAGCAGTCACGCAAGTAAGCAGGCCGTCCTGGTTCTCAGGACAGGGCGTGGTTAGCAGGTCTGGACTTAGAGCTCCAGACTGCACAGCTCTGAATATGGGCTTCCCTTGTGGCTCAGCTGGTAAAGAATCCGCCTGCAATGCGGGACACCTGGGTTCGATCCCTGGGTTGGGAAGATCCCCTGGAGGAGGGAACTGCTACCCACTCCAGTATTCTGACCTGGAGAATTCCATGGACTGTATAGTCCATGGGGGTCGCAGAGAGCTGGACATGACTGAGTGACTTGACTTCACTGCAGACCACGAAACCCAAAAAGGAGCATGATATATAGTGCACCGGTGAAGGGCTTCCCGGGTGTGCCGCTAGTGGTAAAGAACCCGCCCGCCAATGCAGGTGACATTTGAGACTTGGGTACCATCCTTGGGTCAGGAAGATTCTCCTGGAGGAGGACATGGCAACCTACTCCAGTATTCTTGCTTTGGGAAATTCCCACGGACAGAGAAGCCTGCTGGGCTAGTCTGTGCAGTTGCAAAGAGTCAGACATGACTGAGCATGCATGCACGTTAATATATAACAAATTATGGAGACTACGTTAAGTTATGGATACTGTAGGTGTATGCTTTCATCATTAGGAATTTTGTGAATGCACCCACTACAATCTGTTAACCATACAGCACGTGTTTGTCAGCTGAAACTTGGGGTGCATGCAAGCCTGAATCTGGGTTGTTGTTGTTGTTGAGTTGCCCAGTCGTGTCTGACTCTTTGCGACCCCACGGGCTGCAGCACGCCAGGCTTCCCTGTCCATCACCAGCTCCTGGAGTTTGCTCAGGAATGTCTGGGAGCTCCCTGGAATTTCATGTCTGAAAGTGACCTGCCCCAGGGAGAGAATCCACGTACATCCGCAGAAAAGTGTGTGTGATACCGCCGCTCTGATGAGGGCGGGTCAGTCCCCCGGCGGCTGTCGTCCCCCGTCCGTCTTGATCAGAGTCGAGAGGAAAGGACTGCTTCAGGAAGCGCCTTCAGTCATCACGACTTTTGTATTCTGCTCCCCTGAACGATTTAACGAAGGGCATTTGTAGGGTTCAAGCCAGGCCGTTCAGAGATCCCATTTGTGCGTGTCTGAGAGAACCAGGTGATGTGACTCAGCAGGCTTCCAGGAAGTGGGTGATTAACATCAGGATGGAATGGACTTGTTTTCTCTTTTCTCTGGTGGGTTGTCGGGACACCTCGCCTGGGCGTCCTGAGGACCTACAGTAAAATATTAAGAAAATATATTTTTGTTGCATGTGATTTGGGATCTTTTGCGTGTTTATGCCTTTTTCTCAGGTTTTTTTTTCTTTTTTTTAATTGGAGCCTAGTTGCTTTAGAGAGTTGTGTTTTCTATTGTGCAAGAGTGTGACTCAGTTATATGTGTGCATATATCTCCTCCTTGGTGAGCCTCCCTCCCAACCTTCTAGGTCATCACAGAGCCCTGAGCTGAACACCCTCTGCTCTATGCCAACTTCCCACTAGCTAGCTATTTTACTAGCTCTGTTGGTAAAGAATCCGCCTGCCATGCAGGAGACCCCAGTTCAATTCCTGGCTTGGGAAGATCCTCTGCAGAACAGCTCCAGGATTCTTGGGCTTCCCTGGTGGTTCAGCTGGTAAAGAATCCGCCTGCAATGCAGGAGACCTGGGTTCAATCCCTGGGTGGGGAAGATCCCCTGGAGAAGGGAAAGGCTACTCACTCCAGTGTTCTGGCCTGGAGAATCCCACCGACTGTATAGTCCGTGGGATTGCAAAGAGTTGGAGACGACTGAGCGACTTTCACTTCACTTCAGTGTGTATGTAAGTCAGTGTTACTCTCAATTCATCCCACCCTTTCCTTTTGCCCATGTGCCCACGAGCCTGTTCTCTACATCTGTGTCTCAATGCCTGCCCTACAAACAGCTTAATAGCAAAGAGCTCACAGTCCGGACTGTAACTCAGAAAGATACAAAGCACCCCAGTGTTGGCAGCCAGGACCTGGGAGCCACCTAGACGTCCACCAACACATGAATGGACAAGAAAACTGTGGTACGTGTATACGGTGGAATACTACACAGCCATAGCAAAGATTGAATTTGAGTCAGTTGTTACGATGCAGATAATCCTAGAGCCTGTCATTCAGGGCAACTTAGAAAGAGAAAAATAAATATTGCATGTTGATGAATATGTATGACAGCAAGGACATCCAACCAGGCCATCCTAAAGGAGATCAGTCCTGAATATTCATTGGAAGGACTGCTGCTGAAGCTGAAGCTCCAATCCTTTGGCCACCTGATGGGAAGAGTTGACTCACTGGAAAAGACCCTGATGCTGGGAAAGATTGAAGACAGGAGGAGAAGGGGACTACAGAGGGTGAGATGGTTGGATGGCATCACTGACTCAATGGACTTGGGTTTGGGTGGACTCCAGGAGTTGATGATGGACAGGGAGGCCTGGCGCGCTGCGGTCCATGGGGTTGCAAAGAGTCGGACACGACTGAAGGACTGAACTGAACTGACTGATGGAATCTAAGCATATGCTGGTGAGTGCTGAAATAAGATTTTACACTGTGTTCCTCGATATTTATTGAAGTGTGACATGGGGTCATGGGGAATGGAACAGTTTGGACCTCAGTGAGGTTATCACGTAACATAACCTCATGAACACCGTTAACAAACGGGACTGGAGACGTGATCCCGAACCTTCCGGGAATCCTTCTTGGCAGGTGGTTGGAATATTTTTTTTTTTTTTTTCTGTCCTGTGTCTTCATTGCTGTGTGTGCCTTTTCCACTAGCTGTGGCGAGCGGAGGTTACTCTCTAGCTGCGGTACGTGGGGTTTTCATTGCGGTGAATTCTCTTCTTGCATAGCACGTTCTCGAAGGTGTACTGGCTTCCATAGTTGCAGCTCGTGGGCTCAGGAGTTACTGAAGCATGTGGGGCTAGCTGCCCCGTGGCCTGGGGGAATCTTCCCAGACGAGGGATCGAACCCGTGTCCCCGGCATTGGCAGGTGGAGTCTTAACCGCTGGACCACGCTCGAAATCCTGGAGATTGAAGTCCAGAAGATTCAGTCTTCTGTGTTCCCGTCACAGCACAAGGCCATTCAGAAGGTTCTCAGTAAATGACGGGTGAACGCAGGTCAACACGCTTGCCTCCTGCTTTCACAGGGACATGTGCTTTCTGGAAACCAGTGGCTCTAAGGTCTAGTCCGGGCTGAGTGGTTCAGGGGAGCAAATCAAGGACACTGCACTAGCCCTTTGACCACATGTCCTGTGTCATCTGCTGACCAGTGAAGGAATCAGCCTGGTGGA